CAAAAAACAAACAAAAGGCAACTAATTTCACGTAGAAGAAGATGAAAGGAAGCTCATGTACCGGACAGAGATCGAGAGGAGGAAGCGACGGCGTAGGAAATCGAATACACGGCTTGAATTTGAGAATCGGTCCATGATTGGAGCCCTAGCTTACCGTCTCCGGCGGCCTCAACGCCACGTTTTAGAATCGGGAGAAGGTTCTCGAGTCCCGGTCTGATCGAGTCGGAGGAGGAGCGCAGCCTCTGCAGGAGATCAGTGGACGAGATGGGCTTGCCGTCGGAGTAGATAGATTCGGCGAGTCTGGTGATGGTCTCGGCCATGGCGAGCGAGACGATCGAGTGCGAGGTTCAGTGCATCGGAGAGAGAGAGAGGAAGGAGGAGGAAGAGTGTTTGGGGTCGGAAGTAGAGAGAGGTAAGGAAAATGAAATGGGTTTTAGGGGAAAGATAATAATGTTTATAAGGCGGTGTAGAGGAATCTAGTGACGAATTAGTAAAAAACTATATTCATATCATATTTTTATACCACATTTTTATACCAATGCATATGATATGAACAGTCATGTCATTTGAAAAATTTGCAAAACCCAAGAAAATAAAGGAGAAAGACTCGTCGTATACTACAATCATCATTTATTAACTAGTTTTTCTTAATTATTAGTTTATTAAATAATGAACTAAATTTAAAAATCTAATTAATTCAAATAATGTGACTATCTACATCAAATACCAACTAAGATAGTATGAAAATATGGTACGAAAACATAATATGTATACAAAATTAACTTGCTTTTTACTATTTAGAACAAACAACGACAAAAGGAACCAGGATCCTCGTCGGATCCATTCGCAATCGTGTTCTTTCATCATATATCGTACGGTTATAAATCATTTAAAATTTAAAATTTAAAATTCAAATATAAATAGTACCTAACGAAAATTAACCGCACAATATACGATAAACGGACACGATTACGTGATGCCTAGGATCCCTAGGGAATGGATCCGACGAGGATCCTGGTTCCGACAAAAGAACAAAAGCTTTGCTTTATTCCCAAGCAAAAGTGATCCTAGAGATGTTTTATTATTTCTCTTTTTTCAAAAAACGTCGGCTGATGGCTTTGTTATGTTAATTCATTTTTTTTTTAAGTTAAGTAAACTTACAGAGGTATTTGAATCTTCCTTTGCATATGTGTGTTTACTAGATCCAATAATCGAATTCATAATTTACCGTATAAAATATGAGCCTGAAATTCGTCACAGATACATTTATTTTCTTTATCTTTGAGTAGGGAATTGGAATTTCACACATAAAAAAAGTAGCACTGTGCTAAAAGTTGTTTATACTTCTTAATTTTCTTTAGACTCTGTGAATGGTGCACTTTGCGTGTGCAGTATAATGAATATCGTGTTCCAAAGAGAATACATAAATGAACGAAGAGAGCAAAGCTATAAGTTGTAGCCCATAATACAAAGCTAATCTTGTTTTTGAAATTTGTTATGAAATTGTGTTATGTATATTTTAAGAAGTATTATTTAATTTTTGAATAGTTTTTGTTTATATGTATGCAAGTATTGTATAACACTACCATAATATAATGAAGGGGGAATTTGTAATTTGACAGAAGAATAACCAATTACCTAGAATTCAACGTATCATTTGTTAGGAAAGAGTCCTCTCCGGATTTATACATCTAGAGCCTAGGGATTAAATGATTCAGATCTCTTAAAATTTGATCTAACGACTAAAAGCAGAGAAATTAGTAAAAACTTCTAAAAACTACAATAATTTTTTGCCGTATAATCAAATTTTAAAAGTCCAGATTATTTGATCCCTGAGCTTTGGATGCATAGATCCGGAAAAAATCTCTTCCCCATTTGTTATTCATTGTCTATCCACGGCGGACGCCCCGCAGGCCTAGAGTCACGCTTAATTGATCTAATAATGCATTATTTTAAAATTCAGCTTAGTTATAAGCTCACACAGTACACATTATTATTTTGGTTTCAAATCCATAACTTATCGTGTAAAATACGAGCCTGAAATTCGTCGTAAAGGCATTTGTTTTCTTTATCTTTGAGTAGGGAATTGGAATTTCACACATAAAGAAAGTAGCACTGTGCTAAAAGTTGTTGATACTTCTTAATTTTCTTTAAACTTTGTGAATGCTGCACTTTGCGTGTGCAATAATAATGAATATCGTGTTCAAATGAGAATACATAAATGAACGAAGAGAGCAAAGCATATGAAATAAGTTGTAGCCCATAATACAAAGCTAATCTTGTTATTGAAATTTGTTATTTAATTGTGTTATGTATATTTTAAGAAGTATTATTTAATTTTTGAATAGTTTTTGTTTATATGTATGCAAGTATTGTATAACACTACCATATTATAATGAAGGGGGAATTTGTAATTTGACAGAAGAATAACCAATTACGTAGAATTCAACGTATCATTTGTTAGGAAAGAGTCCTCTCCGGATTTATACATCTAGAGCCTAGGGATTAAATGATCCAGACCTTTAAATTTTGATCTAACGATTAAAAGCAAAGAAATTAGTAAAAACTTTTAAAAACTACAATAATTTTTTGCCGTAGAATCAAATTTTAAAAGTCCAGATTATTTGATTCCTGAGCTTCGAATGCATAGATCCGGAAAGAATCTCTTCCACATTTGTTATTCATTGTCTATCCACGATGGACGCTCCGTAGGCCTGGAGTCACGCTTAATTGATCTAATAATGCATTATTTTAAAATTCGGCTTAGTTATAAGCTCACACAGTACACATTATTGTTTTGCTTTCAATTTTTATAGAGTTTTGTACATATTTATAACAGTTATTTAGAACATTTTGGTTCTCATATTAAATGCTGGATATGTATTAGTAAATTAGCGCTTTGATTCAATGCCATTTCTTTTCTTATAGTTTCGAATTTCCCTAAATCATATTGACAGAAGAAAAAAAAAAGATTATTGACTATATTCATGTTGATTTTGATTAGTGCTTTTTATTATAAAAACATTATTTTTATCACACATTTGTATTGGTGGACCTCACCCCGTTACACAAATTATGTCCCATATAAAATGTGACAAGTGTAGCATTACTCTTTTCACTAAGTTTTTTAGGCTAACAAAATACACTTATGATAAGGGTAGTGATCTCGCACTCCCCTTTTTTGTCTGTACACTCTTCACAATTTTTTGCTTCTAACTTTTGAATTGTCACTTAGTACTATGGTCTAGTGTGATTCCTCTTCACTTGTAAGTGAGAGAGGTCTTAAGTTTGATTATCGCCAAAGGTGAAATCAAACCATATTATTATGACAAACTCATTGTAAGGCTTAGCACACTCCCCATTCCTTAGCGTAGATATTATCATTTGTCGAAAAAGCAAAATTTTTGAATTGAATAAATGAAAGTATAACTAAAGAGGGAAAAGAAGAAAAGTACAAAGAGAAAATAAGCTAATTTATATAAGAAAAAACTTATGTAAGGGCACTCGAACCACACCATCCATAGAACAACTCTCACAAACAAAGTAAAATCCATTATATTTTAATTCCACCCAACCGCACATTGATCTTACCTAGTACGAGAGTTGCTCTTGTTTGGCATCATGTGAAGTTTCCCTCCTTTTCATTAAAGAGCCTTCTTAAAAAGGTGCAAGTCGGATAAGGATGACAACTCACGCATAGCAACGCATTCTAAGAGGTACTCAACGTGGATGAATATTATTGTGGAAAGAAAAAAGTGTTTCCTTTCGTATTCATTTATTATGCATCCATTATTTTGTGCATCTTAAAGTCGAGAATCGAACTCAAGACGTTATAGTAATGGTGAATAGTTCAAATACTATTTCAGAGTTTCAATACCAATGACAGTAATTTCAAATTTATTTACACCAACTTGCTCCTATTTTGGAAATACCATGTGATTAGGAAAATATTTTTTTATATATGGACATGAATATTCTTTTGGAGAAAAATGTATATATGGTGTAAGTTGGCAACCGTTTCTAAATTAGAATTTTTACCAAGTCACTTCCTCATTCCATACACAAACAAACAGATTAATTAGTTGGAATTTATCAATTAATTGGTTGGAATTTATCAATTAATTGGTTTGGAATTTATCAATTAATTGGTTTGGAATACATAAAACCTACTTTTTTTTCCTTTCTAGTTTGTACTTCTAATTTATTTTTTAATTCCACAAGACAGAATTTAGTTTTCAAAATCTAACAGAGTGTATGGGAGAATCTGCAATTTAAGTAAACCTATTCTCTCGTTGGGATTTCCGAATGCACTTTTTGTTAAAGCAAATGGCATCAATTGAATTCTGTGGATCTCTTCTTTACTTTTCACTCCTTCCTATACTCTCACTCTCTTTATATATACCAACTCTCTCTGTCCTCTAGTCTCCACCACCAACCAATATTTGTGAGAGAGAGAGAGAGACATACCTAGGTAGCAAGATCGGCCTCTAAAATATAGAGTAAAAAAAATGGCTTCTTCAAATCATCTTGAGCTTACATTGAGTCTTAAGTTGGCAAACATTGAAAATGTTTCACAAAAATTGTCTGTTTTAAATGAGCACCTTCAAAAACATCAAGAAGAGCTTCGTAAATTAGAAGCGTTTAGAACTGAGATGCCTCACTCTGTGCTCCTCTTGTCGGACGGTGAGCGCGTTATTGTTTCCAAATTTACACATCCGGGCGGCCCTAATTTATTTATTTTTCCTATTTATCTTTAAGAATATAGTTGAACGGTTTGATATATGTTAAATTGATTACCTCTTATGGGTTTATTTGATTGATTTTCTTTGCCTCATTGGCTGCTTCTGATATCGGACGATAAGCATGTTAACTGTTTATTCCACATCCGACCGGACCCTTCTTTTATCTTTTACCCTTTTTCTCTTTAAGAAAATAGTTCAATGGTTTGATCTATGTGAAGTTACCTCTCCTGTGGTTATTTTGTTTTGATTTTGATTTTTTTTGCTTCATTGTGTACTCCTGTTACCGGACGGTGAGCGCGCGCGTTATCTGGTTTTCCTTAAATTTACACATCCGACTGACCCTTACTTTATTTTATTTTCCCTATTTCTCTTTTAATTAAATAGTTGAAGTACGGTTTTTTACATGTAAAGTTACCTCTCATAGATTTGTTTTGATTTATTTGTTTATTTGTTTTTGCCTCAGTGCATCATACTGTGAGAGTGTTACTTGTAATTTGTACTGAATTTTACACATGCAGCCGGCCCTTATTTCATTTTTTCCCTATTTCCCTTTAAGGAATCAGTTGAAAGGTTTGACATAAGTAAAGTTACCTCTAACGGGTTTACTTGATTTTTTTTTTATTTTTTTATTGATTTTTGTTGTTGTTGTGATCATATAGCTGTACAAGTCCTCAAGAATGAGATTTTAGAACTCTCCGATCATCAATCTGAACGACGGAGTGCGTTCAGAAAATACAAGAGCTCATCTCCTCCGTTCAACCTTAAGCCATATGGCATAGATACTACTGATCACAAGCAGGTAAACATGGTGATACAGACAGGCAAAAGTTCATCAATAACTTCATTTTTATCTGGTAGTGTGCTTTTTGATAGATTACAATGTATCTAACAATTTAACTCATTTTAATTATTTTGTAAAAGGTGATGACTTTCCAATGTTCCCAATCATCTAGTCAGATGGGAATGATGGTGAACAAAGAGCCGACAAGCCCTACGCCGTTCCCATGCGATTTGAACATGGCGGCCGACGATTTTGAGCTAGAGTCAAAACCACAGGCACAACCGGAGTCCCAGCCACAGCAACAGCTTCCACTGCCACTAGCGCTGCCAAACCTGAAGAACAAAAGGAGGAGCTGGACGCTGGAGCTCCAAGCAAGGTTTCTGGAGGCCATGAGTTTACTTGGAGGTCCTCAAGGTGAGGCAAATGAGTTGTGTCAATATATTCATAGAATTAGTTGAGTCATTTTTTTGGTGGGATATGATATCTAGGACTGCAGGTTTTTGGCTTGATGCTAATATGTAGTTTGTTATGTGCTTATTGTTGAGCAGAGGCTACTCCAAAGCAGATACAAGCTGTCATGCAGGTCGATGGGCTAACCCACGACCAAGTCAAGAGTCATCTGCAGGTTGGTTTGAAACCTTGAATACAAATATACTCTTGTTTTTGTTTTTTAATGCAAGCCGTATTTAGGAGATGGAGCTTCGAACACAAGACTTTGGATGTAAGATAACCAGTAGTTCTTAACCACTAGAGTGTTGGATTCCAATTGTCATTCTCCTTTAACTCATTTTCTTAGTAATTTTAGTGCAATTTATTAATAAACCAATTCCTATATATTGCATAGAAATACAAGCGATAAAATGGTATGTGATATTTGTTCGAAGTGCTATATACGTGATAGGAATAACGAATTGAAGCTTAATAAACTTTTAGGCTCAATATGACCCACTATTAACATCATCAATATTGCCTTTAACTTAACCACTTATGATTAAAAGCTTTGGTGATATTATGAATGAAATCTTCCATAAATAAATGATATATCTTGTTATGTGGGACTAATTCTCATCATTTATGTTAGCTTTGCAGCCTTTGCTAAGTGTATAAGCTCAAGAAACTCGTTAGAACTAAAAAAAAATCCATATTGGTTATGGTTGTACGTACGTTACACGTACATGATAGGAAGCCAAAAATATTTGCATCAGCACCCAATACCTTTGAGTTATTACAAAAGAGACCCAGATAAAACTTTAACTTGGCCGGATGAAACAATGCCAATGCAAACAAAACCAAACTAGGCCATTTACGCCTATGGTCCCCAAATCATGTGAAGTTTGTTGTCTATCTATATTATATCAGGTGGATTAGTAACATTACGTCGCTCATAAAAATTTCTTCAAATATTATGTTTATTGTTGCTAGACTTTGATCTCCTTGATGTGGTGCTGAATCTGATGGAAAATACATATCATCCTCTTTGTGGGTTTCGCAGAAGTACAGACTTAACAACCGAGGAGTCCAACCGGCCTCTGCCACAAGTGGCCAAAGGGCACCCCATTTCTACAGGGACTATTGGCAGCAACAACAGCAGCTCGATGCAAGCAACGGTGGAGTAAGAGTTGGAGTAGGGTCTTCAAACGGTGGCGGTAGAAGCAGGGACATTCCAAACAAGAAAGCAAAGACAAGTCGGTAATATGTGGTGACAGATGATCTGCCGGCATATTTATATTTTGTTGGTGTGCTCAAATATGGGCATGCCCAAGAAGGTTCTCTATTTTGGTCAATTGTACTCTTTATTTGGGAAGTGATGTAGTAGTTAAAATGCAAATAGTTCAACATTTCAACATTTATATACTTTTGTTATGCATGAGACCGTGATTTGTAGTTAAAGGATGAGAATGTCATGTTTATTTATTCGTTTATCTTTATTTTTTACAAATTCATATAGGTGCCATGTTAGAAATTGCATTTAAAAAAAAATGGTAAAAGGTAGAGCCATGGTGGTAATACATATTCCCCTAGCCACCATGGCTCTATCTTTTACCATGGCAATGGCATATAAAATAATTCTACACGAGAAGATGACATAAGTTCTCGGTATACCGAAAATATATTATTTTTGAGACGTATTAGAAACTATATCGAATAATTAATCTTGGCAACGGCATTCAGTCAATGCTATTGTAGGCTGCCCATAAATTTCATAAGTGGAAAGAAGTGAAGGCTATTACAATGATGTCCTATCTAAAGAAAGGAAGACAAAAAATGAAGTGACCAGCAGCAAAGAGTGCTTTTTGTTGTCCACAAGCAGTTGAGTGTTAAGAGGTATTGTATACTGATTCAACTACTGGTGTGTAAAGTTTCCTAAAAACAATAGTGTCTGCAAATCTGGGTTTAGCGAAGTGAGTTAGAGCAGTGTACTTCGCCATCTGTTAAAGTAAGTTTCTTAATTATTATAACAAATTAATATATGTATATAAACCTCTACAGAAATGAGAACCGGTGAGCTTGATAGCCAAGTAAAATAAGGCACCCGCCGACTTTGAGAGGAAAAAAAAAAAAAAAAAAAACTCCCGAGCAATTCACCCAGCCTAAAGCAGGGTACTTTGCTTTCCTCTCTCTGCCTCTATCAGATCAGTTCATCGACTAGTCGGACATCCCCGGTTTTCAGATTTTTGTTCATTTTCATTCCATGAAATCAATCATTATAACCAATCAAAAGCTAATAGTTTAACACCGTATGCACCCAAGTTCGAATCCCCTCTCCGAATTTGTTGTAAAAAAACAAGTGTCCAGAAAATTAAGAGCAATTATACCAAGCAATTTGGAACATATATAAAGCTTGTGATGAAAACTAAGAGGATCAAAACCGAAAATAAAATAATTGTCATGTGATTCTTACGATTTGATCTTGGCAATGGCATTCTGTTTAGGAAGTTAACAAAGGGGCTCTCCAAATCCATCATCTGAAATTTTTGAACTTCGACTATTTTCTTTACTCCCCTGGTCACCACCACCACCATCAGAGGCTTCCAAGTGCTGCCAAACAAGCTTGAAGAACCTCATCAACTTATTCTTCTCCATAAGGGTTAGCCTCCTGACTTTAAATATTGCTAGTCCAGAGTCCGGAAAATTCCACAACTCCCCGACATCGTCGTCAAAAATGGAGTTTACTTCAATGCTTGTGAAATCCACATAGTTTGATATACCTGATTTCGTCAGAAGGTCTATGGCTTTTTCTGCACGAAACAAAACCCTAGGGCCACTAAGGTAATGCGGAGTCTTTTGGCGTCATGTTGTGCAAGGACTTGAGGGGCATAGGTGACGGCGTCTCAATGTTGGACCGTCGTCGTTAAGGACTTTATTCGTAGCTTTTGGGAAGGGTTGCATGATCATCCGTTAAGATTTCCTTCCTTTGCAAGGAAGGTTCCAGATAGAGAGAACTGACTTGCAGACTACAAATTTGCTTGAAGTTGGACTAACAATTGTGTATGAGCACGCTAATTTTCATCATACAAACCAGACCAACGACAAAAAATTCATACAAGAATTAAAACTTAATGTTAAATTGTTAATAGTATTTGCGAAAATATAAGAATAAAATGTACTGATTAAGTTAAAATCATAGAAGGTGGCTCAGATTATGGTGAGTTTTCTCACCATAGTGGAGAATGATTTTGTGCAAGCAATCCAAAACCCTAAACCCTAGTTACAAAATTATTCTCCGAAACCCTAAACACTAAACCCTAAGCTTTTATCACCTACTTGGTCGAAATAGGAGTTGAAGTCGATCGAACTCGGATGAAACAGAAAGGTATGTGATACGGCTCGTCGTACTCGACGTCAACCTGTATGACTGTGAATTGCAGAAGCAACGAGTTAACTCGCTATGAGCCCGAAGAAGATGACCTAATTCTGACGTCGTCGTTCCGGACAGATATTTGCCTTCTTTTAATTTGCTGAAATGGCTCATTTCATTGGTCTTTTAACTGGTTCTCTCTAAGGGGCCCATATAGAAAATATGACCGACTCACTTCAGTTTTCTCTAGGGGGGGCCATATAATATTCGATAATAATTGATATAATAATATTTTAATCTCTAAATCCATGATTCTCTCTTTTCTTGAAATTTTGAATTTCTACCCTACACTTATCATTTATTTAATAGAAATAGAACTTGTCAATACATGCAGATTCGTCTCTATTAGAGAGAGAATACAAATAATAATATAAATATTTGGTAAAAATAACATGTTTCACGAATTAATCATATGTTATTAACTAATGGGTGATGCTATCTACAAACTCTTGTACTTCTCACATGCTCTCTTAATTTTTGACAGTCGGATCAAATGAATTGAAGAAGAACAAATGATAAAAATCAACAAGAAGTGTGTGGGAGATAAAAATGGTTGTTTAGAATAATCAAATCGTATTGTATGGCTGTACTCATATTTGTCTATGTAAGAACTTTACGAATTAATCACTTCACAGGCAATACCTTAAGCTTCCTTATTTTATGAATGAAACGACTGCTATGTATATGCAGTTATGCACCGTACTCTTGCTTGCTGAAAGCTTTCTTTCATTTGTTTTCCTTATCCATAGTTTGTTTTGAAGAATCTCAGGCAACCTCATATGGGTCGATTTTTATTCTTCGTTTGGAGAGTAGTTGAAACTTGAAATGCATACAATTCAATATTTAAGATATTTTTTTTCTCTCAAAATTTGTGATATTTTTGTATATGTATGGGGTTATGATTTTTAGTTAAATTCTTGTTACATATAAGAGTCGAATAGTATTATAAAAATAGTAATGCAAAATCACATTATAAATAGGGATTCTTTACAAAGTAAATAAAAGTCTGTCAGATGAAAGGAACCCATAGCCTTATTCCAAGTACAATAATTCTGTGTCCACCACATGCTCCTTACAAAAGCACAAACATACAACGATACAAAACCCTACCATATAGAACATATATCCTTCTGATAATTGCACAACCAACCATACAGTGTTTTATACATAATTAAAACCTTAAACCACCATGTAAAACACATTATTTGGAAAATTAATTATACATGATTCATAGTTAAAATATATTAATTACTTTAAATCAAGGTGAAGTACTTTGTTTTGAAGAAGATGCTGGGGGAATTCCGGGGATCCGAGGCATAGGTGGGAGTGGGACGGGGAGTGGAGGGAGGAATGGGATGATTGGTGGTGGTGATGACGGCGATGGAGTCAAACCAGGTATAGGTGGCAGGTTGGGAATCAATGGTGCTGGACCTGCTGGTGGAGAACCAGGAAGGGGGGGCAAATTAGGGATTAATGGAGCTGGTGGGGGCTCAAGTGGATTAGGGATAAGTGGAGGGGGCTGAAGTGGATTAGGGATAATTGGTGGAAATAAAGGTGGAAATATAGTGTCTGGATGCGCTACTTCTTTATTATCACCTAGTTGCTCATTCTTTGAAGTTTTGGAGTTGGAGGACACAGATGAAGTTTTTACAGCAACAGGGGGCGAACCTGGAATTCCAGGAAGTCCTGGGAGTCCTGGGACACCGATTGGGATGGGAGGGAGAGGAGGGAGTTGTGGCAGTGGTGGAACAATAGGGATCTTAGGGACGGGAGGTAGATCAGGCATTGTGGGGTTCACTTGAGAGGGTGATGGGAATTCCAGCTCATCAGTATGAGGGAATGAGAACTTCTGGGAATTTAATTTCTTGGAATTCTGAATGCTGGGTTTCTGGTTGCATAAGGTGGGTTGTTTGAGAGGCTTGAAGGTGAAGAAACCAGCAGAGAATATATGAGTCCCTTGCTTTCTTGCCTTGAGGTGTAAGGAAGAGGAGGTAGCTGATGAGGCCACAGCACAGTAGGGTTCACTGCTGCTGATTAGTTTCACTGAGCATCCTTCAATTTTCTTGACATGTTTGCTCACCGAGAATGGCAGAAGGACTTTGAATTGTCCATGGCTATTTGTTTTCACTTGTGCCTTGAAACTTTGTTCTGTTGAACTCCCATCTTTGCATTCCACTCCAACAGAAGCCCCTGCACAAGAACCTCGTAAGGTTATTGATATTTTCGAAAATGCATCCACAACATGTCTGTACGTTTTGTTGACTCACAAAGAAATCGCCACGTTGTTGATGACATATTTACTGGACGACAATGATATCGACATATACAAATTAATGAAATATCCTCCATCTTTTCTTTTAGAGAAATAATAAATAATGTTGGAAAGAATTTGTGATTGAAAGCAGAATCCTGCCGCCAAGGAGAGATTTTGTTGTAATTGATTTATGTTATTTACTTTTCTTAGTTGTATAGTTGACTCAGAGGAAATATCTGTATAAAGGTTTTACAATCAGAAGTAATGAAATTATTCTGGCCAATTCTATTTCTCAGTCATTTTATCAGATTTTACATTTCGCCTTTTGTACGCCTTTGTTTATTTCTTTCTTTGATTAATTCAAATTCAAAGATCAAAAATAAAAATGAAAGTACGCACAAGGAAAGAAGCGCCGGGCGTATGGAAATCATTGAATTGACGTTTGTTCCATAGCCGGACTACTAAATAAAAAGAAATTTGATTCAGAACTTCTTGAAAATTTGAGATGAATTTATTACCTGAAATGAAATGGCTGGTATGTGAGAAATCCTCTTGGAAACATGTGTCACAGTAGACAGTGCCCACAACAACTGCAGAAGGATGGTTCTTCTCTTGGCTAGCCTCTGAAGGAGTATGAAATGTGAGAGTAGCAACCAGAAAGATAACTGTAAGAAACCAAGACATGTTTTTAGAGCCCATCTATTCCCCCCTCTAAGAAGTTCTGAT